CTCCAAAGCGCGTTGGACGTTGTTCACAGTTGGTACCTGAGGGAGCAGATGTCTGTCAGCTCCAGCAAAACTGTGTTAATCCCCTTCACCAAGAGAAGGAAATTGGGCGATCTAACGCCACTTTCCCTCAATGGTGTGGTCATTCCATTTGGAACAGAGGTGAAATATCTTGGCATTGTGTGCAAAATGATGAAACAACAGAGCATATACTTTTTGCCTGCCCCGCTGGGGACCGAATCAGGTTCTTTGAATTCGGCAGATCCGTACTCTCATCATCTGACCTGAAAGACCACTCACCATACGAACCAATCGGCTTCGTTAAGAAGCTGGGTTGATTTGGCCGAGTGTAAATAGGTGTGACCCACAATAAACCCTTGTGGGTTGCGGTGGGGGGTCGAATAGATCCAATCACTTTAGACCTACCTACCTAAATATTTTTCAATTATATTGAATAACATTGCGTTTACTCCTGGGGCATATATTGAAACTTTCAGCACATTGCTTGGATACTTGTTTGGTATATTGAATAACATATCTATCAAACCTAAACATGTCTAGCACGGATACAGCTGATGAGTCTACATTACTTGAAGTGGAACTCTCAGCAAAAGTTGATGAGCACAGAAAAAATATTATGAATATATTGATGATGAAATGGATGAAGCTCAGAATAAAAATGTTTCAAGGCTACCACCATATCACTGCGAACTCAATTCCATTGGTAATTGGGGATGGTATAAAAATTTTTGTTGGGGAGCATAATACTACATGAAAAACATTTTCCGCAATGCCATAACTACCTTCACGTCCGAAAAAGCAGAAAGTGGAGCAAAACAATATGAAAATTAGACAATATTATAGAGATAGAGCAACAAACTGAATAATTTACATTGAATGTGAATGATAGTGCTCGTCTTCTGACGAACCAGAATGTCAGCAGTTAATAAAATAATCGTGTAATTATCGTGCTCTTGATTACATTTACTGAACCTTGGATTGGAATATAGTTTTTGTCAAATGAAAGCCATTCTTCAGAAATATTTTTTCTACTTTCTTCTAAAAATCACCACTTCTCCGCGGCCTATATACATTATCAGGCGTTAACTTTAAACGATAATAAGCGGAACTACCATCATGTATCTACATGATTGTGATTCTTGAATCCTACTTGCAGTCATTCAAGCATATAGATGAATTAAACATTACATATGGATGAACCACGCCAGATTTACGAATTTTCCAATTGAAGGAAGTGTCCCGCAGGGGTCCGTCTGTCAGCATATGTACGAAGATGGTCTCAGAAGTACCTACCCGACCTAATGACGGTAATTGTTTGAGGAATATCATTGTTTGAAGACGCTGCGTTGTTAGTATTTGTTTGGCAGCCATCAATAGCGAACGTTTTCGGTGAATTTGTGAAAATGCAGAAAATGCAGAAAATTGGTCATCGTTACTTTCAATACTTTCACGTACAATACTTTCATTCGGAAGGCCTCAGCCCAACCAATATGAAAGCTGAACTGGATTTTACTCTGGGTGAGTATGTTCCTTGGATTACAACAATAAAATATGGGGTAGCAGAGTTTAAATGTGGCTGTACGAGCTGCCAAGACGAGCATCTCAGTGGTCGACCAAATGAGGTGACGACTCACAAAACGGTGAAAAAAATCTACAAAGCGGTACTGAATGATCGTCGACTAAAAGTGCGCGAGGTAGCAGAGAGTGCAAAGAGTGCGGTACATCGTATATTATCTGAAAATTTGGAAATGAGAAAGCTGTGTGCAAGATGTGTGCCGCGTTTGCTCACACTCGAGCAAAAACAGTGTGGTTTCAATTTAGTGTTTAGCGAAGTTTGACAGCAACAAAGCAGAATTCTTGCGTCGTTTCATAACCATGGATGCAACATGGATCCATCACTTCACACCAAAGAAAAAAGAACAATCAACAGGCTCCAAAGAAGGCAAAGACCGTTTCATCTGCAGGCAAGGTCATGACATCATTTTTTTGGGATGCGCGTGGGATAATTTTCAATGATTATCATTGGTTCGACGGCGAGTAATATGCGAACTTCTTGCAACGTTTGAGTGAAGAAATCATGCAAAAACCGACACAGTTGGCTAAGAAAATCTGTTTTTTCATCAAGACAACGCACTAGCTCAGGAGTCCATTATCGTATTGACCAAAATTAATTAATTGAAGTTTGAAATGCTACTTTATGCACCCTATTCACCAGATTTAGCCCCCTCGGATTATTTTCTGTACTCAAACTTGAAAAAATGGTTCAGTGGTACACTATTATTCACCGCTGAAGAAGTAATGTTGGCAGTTGATGACTAATTTGAGGAGCAAGATAGTTCTTATTATAAAAACGGTATCGAACTTATGTTGAACGTCGCTGGGAAAAGTGTATATTGATATATTTTTTTCAAAAATTTTTGTGTTTTCTTTGTTTCTGTTGTTGGCGTGTAGCATCTGTAGACTTCTTTCCATAAACTATCGATAATAGTTGTTTGTGTCTCGTAGACTTATGATTTCATATAAAGAAAGTCCAGTGGAAACAAATCAGGGATCTGGATGTTTATTCTATAGAACCGTTCGTTCCAATACATCGACTCGGAAAACGAATTCGTCGCACTGATATTTACGATTCAAGGAGCCCCATTTGTTGAAAAACTACCCTGTTTCGTTATAGATGATTTAACTACATAGCGTTGTTGATGCTTATCATATCATGATTATTCAGCAAATTGAAAATTCTTCTCCATCTAGGTTGGGAATATCGAGTATGAATTTGACATGTTATATATTGAGATTTGAATGTCAACCCCACTGTCATTCTTATTTTTTTTATTTTTCCATTACTGTGTGACTATTTTATTTTATTGTATTTTTATTTCACTTTTTTTGTATACATACATACATCAGGGTCACTATCATACATCAGTGTCACTATCATACATCAGCCTTAACCATTTTGTCAATTACATACATGTGATCACCATTTCACTTATTGTTAATCTCTTTATTAATTTTTTATCGCTTGAGGTTACAATAGTGATTCGTAGAGAAAAAGTATGAGAAGATATTTTGTAAATAATTGTGCCATTCGAGCTATTTTTATGATAACACCATCAATGAGGAATATGCAAAAGGAAGTAGTGAAAACTATTGATATTTTATTTATAATACTGAATTGAAGACTTGTTTCAATTATTGTAAATGAAAATAGCAACTTCGACTGGGCTAATGGACTTTTTAATAATCATAACACGTGCTTGATTTATGTGTTTTATATGACAAGAACACTCTAAGGAATTTACTTATTTCTTACTCTTACGATTCGAATTATTTGTTGTATTGAGAATTGTTGAACTTTTATAAAGTTTGTGTGCCTTGGACTATATAAAATTCATGCACCCCAGCATTTTTAGATTCGTCAGAGATCTGTCACAAATATGAACGACAATATCAGCATGTTATATAATGAAAACCCTTAACAGATAGAAGTAACATGAAACAGTTTTATTCAATGTATTTCGAAAATAGCAGTTTTTTTATTCAAGAATATTTTGTGGTACATATTCGTAAGTCAGTGAAGTTCTATCTCAAATATATAATAGCATATCTTAATCAAAGACGATTATGTATCGATTAACTATCATTATATTATGGTCAACAAGAAGAATATCACCTTTTTCCAAGTCTTCGTATATTTTCCCCCCAGGCAAGTTCACCAATTTGAAGAATCATAATTTTGAAAGAATAATGTGCCAAAAATTCCATATTTCGAAACACAAAATCAGAAAATTTCGTCAGTGTTTAGCTAAACATGAACTAATTGTTTTCATAGACTTTTTTTTTAATTTAAATATTTTTTCAATCCATCAAAATAAGAACTATTGGTGCCACAGTAGCTGATCCACAGAGAAGGTTTCGGTTTTTACTCGAAGGGTGTGATTTTGAAGATATAAGAGGAGAACAGTTCAGGAAGACATCAGGAAGTATTTGAAAGCGTTCCACAGCATTCCGGAACCTTCTAGAACGTTCGAGAATAGTCTGTAATGTTCTGGACATCCTGGAACATTGCAGATCATTGTGGAACAAACAATAAATAGTATATGGTATGGGAGCCCTTCATCCCTATTCCTGAAGAAGGATTTCGTGTCAACCTGAAGGACGAACAGAATTACAGCAGGCAGCAAAATTGTTAATGTTCCAGGTTCAAGTACAGGTACAAGTGCAGATACAAGTACAAGCACAAATACAGGTACCAATACAACTGATTACCTGACAAGGCATAAATACGCTTTACAAAGCCTAAAAGTTACTCATCGGACAGCAAGCCATGATGGTTGAACCTCTGAAAAAGCTAGCCACTCGCGCCAGCGAAACGTCAGGAAAAAAATTCCAAAAATTCACGACTTTCGAACTCGAAAAACAGTGACACTACATACACAAAAATAGTATCATCATTTCCAAGCCACGTTTTACATAATAATAAAATATACCGCGCTTGCTGGTTAAATTTTTATATTACTGTGAACAGTATATGTTTATCGCACACTTAACGCTCAGCGTCTCTCCAAGAGAGAGTCTGCCTTCCGTTAACGTATGCGTGAGAGAAAGGAAAGCCAAAGAGACTGGCGCTGTAACGCGTTAGGTAACAAAGCGGTTTACCCTCCCATAAGGAGTTTTCACTTCAAAAACACTTTTCTCTATCCTGTTTGTATTTCAAACATTCGTTATGGAATTTGTTCTGATAGAAAGAGATCGTGTAACTAAGAGTAATAAACAATCAAGTCCAACACAATCTGAGTAAGAATTTCATGACAGTTTCAGGTGGGTGCTAGGCATAAACGTATCTTCTAATTTGATATATCATAAGCAATTACAATGTAATGTGATGGAAATCTATCAACTTTCATTGGTCATTGTAAGTTTAGCCTATTCGAACAGCGAAATGTAATTAATCTCCAAGATGAGAGGAAGAGTATACTTACAGTGGCATACTTGCTCGATCGTTACAAGTTGTACTGCCTTTACCTCCCTCCAAAGGATCCACAGTACTGGATAGTATTGAATGTAGAAAGCAGAGCTCTGATGAGCTCAATGCATCTCTTGGAAATTGGCTGATTCTTCCCGGTATCACGAAATCTGCGAGCAGCCTGTAAGTGTAAAACTCCTCTCCTGTAGCTGCGTATGGTATGAAGTTTGGATTTTCATCTTCTGTGAATTCTTCAGTTCGTCGCACTCCGTTGAATAATACACTGAAAAATCGGTTGATAGTGTTTCAATAAGGCTCAGTGGGATTTGTAGATTCAAAAATGGAACGTTCGAAAATTCTTACCCGTGTATCATAGATGTAGTCAATAATCTCATATCAACATTGCTTTTTTCATTTATTTCAACTTTCCTAATCAATTCAATCAATAACGGCAGTGTTAACGGAGGTTTGGCTGCGATAGTGAAATTGTTTCGATAGCAGTTTTGAATAATGTTCGGAATATCAGATGATGTCTGGCTGATGACATTTTCAATATTTGCATAACCTAAAACTGAACATTGAGATTTGAAACAAGCTGCCAACTGAAGTTTTCCGATCTTACCAAACACCAATAGCAGTTCAAATGAGCACTTGCACTCCATTGTCGATGATCACATTGTTTATACACCTATTCGAATTGATTCAATGATAAATTCTGATATCTTATCATTCCCTCTACCAATTTAAGCCGAACAAAAGGTACATATTTATTTTGATAAAAATGGTAAACGATGTAATCATATGTGTGTTGTAATTCAATGAAATAAATTCATACACCGTCGTTTATATAAGATAATAAAAGGTACTTTTTCGAAACATTTGATTTTTTTCTGTAATATGTAGCAGCCTCTGCACTGACTTATTTTCGAACAATTGCCTAACAATTAATTCTCTCATACCTACTTTTACAAACTTTTATTTGTAACTAACGTTACTACAGTTTGATCCTATAAGGACATGATCAAACTTATACATTTGATTTATAGTATGGTTTAATGTATAAGTTTGAAAATGTCCTTATAGGACGAAATTGCAGTAATGTTAGTTACCAATAAAAGTGTATATGTATAGTTTAATGTACACATTTCAAAATGTCCTTATAGGACGAAACTGCAGTAACGTTAGTTACAAATAAAGGTGGTAAAAAACATATTAAGTTTCAATTCTCTTTTCTTCAAGTTATAAGCCTCCTTCACAAAAAGACCCTCCATTCAAAAATATTATCGATGATTCTTCAGTAAATGATCAAAATTAGTTATTTGTCATTGTAATCAAGAAACAGAAGTCGCAGCAGAAACCAGCAGGTAATTATCTTTCACAATGACTAAAAATATTGAGCCAGAAACAGGTCTGTGCGGTGTGCAATTTGAGTTTTATGTTCACGAATTTACTTGCATGTGATTGTATCAAGTAGAATAAACATAGTATACTAGCGAGATGATGTTATTTTCTTTTTATTCCACCCAATTCAAATCATAAGAAAAACCTTGTTATTTTTATTGGATCCGTATAATTCGTTCCGGAGATATTTCGAACAATACTGATTTCTGAGAAATTTGCGTCAACTGATGAACAACAACCAAAATAAAGGTTCATAGCGGTGAATAATATAATATGACAAATGATTGGAGTTTGTTTGTTTCTATTGTGTCTAGATTGTCACTGTTTTTCAAACAATTGAAATGCTCATATTTGAATGATTCAAATCATTCAAAGGAACAATTCGTTCAGGCCAGTCTCAACTCCCTACACTGTAGGTTAATGGACTGACACCTATCAGAAAAAACTATTTCCCTGGCTAATAACATGAAGGGCGTTGAATTATATTCGACAGGTGTCAGTGCAGGATTCTTCACTGAAGTTATTCCTGCACATGCTGTTGGCGATACAACTGCCGCAATAGATTTTGAATTACGGGAACACACTTGCAGACGGGTTTCGGGCTATTTGACCACTCGTCAGTGCAAGGTAGTGTCTATCATCAACATACAGTCGATGACTTCTGATAATTGGGAATCGAATTCCTTCAGAGTATCATTCCTCGAACTAGGCTGAAGCGGACAACAAACAACAGTTTTGTCATCGCCCCATCTGCTTGTGAACGAAGTAATCAACCGCATATCTGAAATTTGACCCATTCCTCGTATAAAGAAAGAAAACTTTTCATATATATAGTCAGTGCAGGACAGGTGTCAGTGAAGTGACACCTGTCGGATATAATCCAACGCCCTTCATGTTATTAGCCAGGGAAATAGTTTTTTTCTGATAGATGAGTCCATTAACCTACAGTGAAGGGAATTGTTCCTTTAGATGATTTGATTTATAGCCAATCTTCAAGTATGCCCATATACTATATATGGCAAATATAATCTGGTGACCTGGTATGGCGATTGTAACCTGGTAATAATTGCAGAATTATCATGAAGAAGCGTAATTAGTGGTATATCTGTGGTCCTGAAATATGTCCCGATTTACCCGTGGGTTGAGTTACCTATCGGGCGCGTCCTCAGGTGGCGGATAGGGGAACGGTCATCCTCGTATTATAGAATACCCCTTCTTCCCATTTCAACGCTTCTATGTTCCGATAATCGTCCCAATCCATATTTTCCTTCAGTTGCGCAATTTACTGTGATGCAACTTCCTTCCAGGGACTGGTTTGTGTGGAGGCCTCACATTTTGCCGGTTGATCAGTTTGTATATCTATGTCTATGTTTATTTTCTCTATTGGCTCCAACTTATTTCTCTCAATCCACTCTTTAATGGATTTCCTCTGTAGAAGATCAGTCGTCTTCTTTATCTTATGCCCAATGTCCCTCAGTCTTTTACTACAGTTTGGGTTTTCGGCTAAGAACTTTTCTAGCTCCGCCATTTGGATTTTATTCGCCTGAATGGCTTCCATGATCGTGAAGGCTTCCGGGCTCTCTTTCTTTTTATATGGGTTGCTCAGACTACCTCCATTTGATTCTGGCATCAAGTCCAGTGCCTTTCGGTTTTTCGAGTCTGGCAACGAGTTGCATCGGGGCATTGTACCCCCTTGCCTATTTTTACTCTTTTCAACTATGTCAAATCTTCCTGATTTAGGGTGGTCGCCTCCCTCTACAAATACTACATCTTCGAGGTTTTCATTCAAATTCATTTTGTTCCCACGAATCGGGACGTCTTTTAGTACCGCGGGGCAGTGCGATCTTAGCCCGCTAGAGCTGTCTACACCAGGAGATCGCCATCTTCCTGGTGGCTCCGTTTAAGACCATATGTCTCCTGACCATTCACCCCTCAGCACGGGTCGCATAACGCATTACTCCCATGGTGTGGTGTCCCTCTTAGTCTGACCTTTCCTCCTTCGACCCGTCCGGCATGGAAGACCCTGCCAGTAGCAAAGCTACAGCCGGCATGGCTCTCGGTATCATTGAGGCACTCAAGTTCCATCACCACGACAAGGTGGAGACACCGGCGATGGTTTTACGGACGGGATCGCCGGACTTCTGGTTAGTGGTAGAAATAAGTAGGTTGAGGGGAACTAAATCTCCCCAAAAGCCTGTGCAAAACATGCCACCGTGGACCAGCCTACCTAAGCTAAGGTATAAAGAATCGTGCCGACATCTGAATGGCAGCAGGGTGATATGCCCTTGGGGAAATGGGCGTAACCTCATTGTAATCAGCCTACCTTTGGTAATGCGGGGCTCTGCCAGAGGTGACCAACTCTTCCCTTACTACTCGTGGGAACACACATGAATGGAACAAACACAAAAACAGAAACGACAAAACCAAAAACCAATCCCGAGGCTAGACAGAATTGCTCACCTCAATATAAGACGGTGGCTGAGGATGAACAGAAATGTCTACTTCAATCTACCGCTTGGAATAAGGCTGGCCATAGCAGATCACCTCGTGATGTAATGCAAAGGCGTGAGCGCATTTGCGGCGCCGAGGCCAAAAGGAGGAAGAGATCAAAAGAGGCAAGAGTGGCAGCAACTATAAGTGCACCCTCCTCCTTCCCCTCTCCACCTCCAACAGCTAGGGCACTTCCTGCGATGGGCGCCAAGAGCTCCGCCTTGATTGAGGGAAGAAACCGGTAGCACCTGCAGGAAAGCTCCCTCATTTGTGCACCTCCACGGAGGAAACCCCGTTGGTTGAAGGTCGAAGAAGCCGGGCAACGACAGTAATATTGATGCATCTTCCAAAGCCTTCACGGAGGCCACCGTGAGACACCTCATGGTTGCCAAAGAGAGTGTGTTTTCGGCGAGTCTTGGCCTATACCTGCCAATATAAAGAAGATGTCTCCTAGTGACCTGTCCACCTTCCTTGAAAGGACAGGATGAACGATGACCTAGGAGGAGAACTCTTTGGGAGAATGTACAGTGGGTCACATGTGGCCTAAGTGCTGTAGGTCTATACTCACCCTCCCTACTCTACAGATACGGGATGTCCCGCTTTAATGGACAAATTTCACAGTTTTTGAACCCTGCCAGAATATTTGATGGAGTTGAAAGAGTCTGTCTGATGATTTTTGGTATTTAATATATCATTTGTTTTCCTCGATGATTTATTCATATATCGTCATTTGTTTTCTTCGCTGATTTTCCATCCACTGATCCATTGCGCTGGTGATGTATTTTTCAATATGTCCCCTAAACTGATCTATCCAAAGCTTGTTGGCGGTGATTATAATGTGGTGGGGAAGAGAGCAGTACTATGTCTTTTTTATTCGCAAAGTTCAGTCCTTCAATGGACAAGTAGAAGCTGTGGTGTTGCTGGGAACATTCGTGGGATTATTCAATTTCCAAATAAAAAATCGATGGAGAAATTGGGACATCCCAAAATAACTTTGTAGATATATAGGATATTTCGCTTTCATCTGAGTTGATTCATAAAGTACCTCTGTCCACGAGGGCTTCTGTATCTGTAGAAAGTGCCCTTGCTGATGGAGGTGATCTGCCATGTCTAGCCTCATTCCAAGCGGTAGATTGGGGTGGACATTGCTGTTCTCTCCAGCCACCGCCTCAGATTGAGGTGAGCACTTCTGTCCAGCCTCAAGATTGGTTTTTGTTTTTGGTGTTTTTGTTTTGTTCATCTCCAGCCACCGCCTCAGATTGAGGTGAGCACTTCTGTCCAGCCTCAGGATTGGTTTTTGTTTTTGGTTCTTTTCTTCAAGTNCCAGCCACCGCTTCAGATTGAGGTGAGCACTTCTGTCCAGCCTCAGGATTGGTTTTTGTTTTTGGTGTTTTTGTTTTGTTCATCTCCAGCCACCGCCTCAGATTGAGGTGAGCACTTCTGTCCAGCCTCAGGATTGGTTTTTGTTTTTTGGGTTTTTGTTTTGTTTCATTCAAGTGTGTTCCCACGAGTAGCAAGGGAAGAGTTGGTCACCTGTAGCAGAGCCCCGCATTACCCGAGGTAGGCTGATTACAATGAGGTTTCTCCCAGTTCCCCAAGAGGATCGTTCGTGATCGCATATCACCCTGCGGCCGTTCAGCTGTCGGCACGATTCCTTACACTTTAGCTTGGGTAGGTCCACGGTGGCATGTTTTGCAAAGACTTTTGGAGAGTTTCAGTTCACCTTACCCTACTTATTTCTGTCACTGACTAGGAGTCCGGCGACCCCGTCCGTAAGGCCACATTGGCTTTCCGGACAGGGCATCCAGTCCCCTGGCCGTTCGCCACCTGGGGACGCGC